AGTGCTGGGATTACAGGCGTGCACCACCAAGCCTGGCTTATACCACATTTTTGTCTACCCAGTCATCTATCAATGAGCATTCGTTTATTTCCCCATTCTGCCTATTACGAATAGCACTGCTGTGGGCCTCTAGGTACAAATATCTGTTTGGGCATATAGTGTGGCTTGGAAGTTCTTTAGACCTTCTATCAGACTGCGGCTGGCTTTGTTTGCACAACTTTACGTCCTCCCTGTTGATTAGCTTTAGTCAATCATATTCACTGCTGCGGAGCACCCCACTGTACAAATCCAACAGTTTCCCCAGCGTTCATGATACTTCTGCTTCTCCCTCTTACACGGAGCGCTGCGTACATAGCATTGTGTGCAACTCCTGGGGCACACGGAGGACAGACACTCACAGGCAGGTCCCTAAGCATGTTAATGCTTTGTCCCTAAAGATGCTCATCTTCAAATGTACTTGCTGTTGCTGAATCTGAGCTGTCTTTACAGGGGTCTCCCCGTGGCTCGCATCCCTGCCTCCGCGCCGGAGTCCCTTGGGAGAACGTACACTGGTGTCTTGAGTGACCGCTCAGACCTGTCTGAAGCAGCCTCAGGGATGGGACTGGAGAGCTGCTGTTCTTTTTTGTTTGTTTGTTGAGACAGGGTCTTGCTATGTAGCTCAGGCTGGCCTTGAACCCACTACAGAGCTCAGGCTGGCCTTAAACTCACAGTGATCCTCCTGCCTCAGCCTCCCAAGTGCTTGGATTACAGGGATGCGTCACCACACTCAGCTACCATCTTTAATTATTAATTCCGCTTTCTTCCTCCCCTGTAATAATTTTTATGCATACTCTGAAGGCAGTATGGGTAGCGGGTGAACGGACCGTAGGGCAGGAGCCTAGAGGCGGAGGACGAGTCACGGAGCCTGGCTCTCCCACCGTCTGTCTATCTGACCTGGGCAAGTTCCTTCACCTCTCAGCCCAAGAGCGATGGCCCCAGCAAGCATCTCATTGTTGCTGTGGGAGGAGAGGAGAGGACTCTTAGAGAGCTCTTGGCATACACTGAGTGTCAGGAAGGGGACCTGCTCCCCTCCGTGAGTGTGTCTGAGAAGCAGGTGGCTGACCCGCAGATACTGGGAGATGGAAAGGTGCCCATGTGCTCCTGAGCCTCGGGACAAAGCTGGCGGGCCAACCCAGAGTGGGGCTTTCTTATTTGAGAAACTTCTAAAATCCAGATGTAGCCAGAAATAGTGGTGCACTCCTATACTCCCAGCACTTGGGAGGCTGAGGCAGGAGGATCCTCTCAAGTTTGAGGCTAGCCTGAGCTACATAGAGAGCCTGTCACAAAAAACCCCCACGAGGGTGTACATTAGGTAATATTAAAGCTAGGACAAGGGTAACAATTTTCTTGTGCCAAGTACTCATCCCACAGCAGACACTAGGCTGAGGAGTTTGCATACATATCTCACTTAATCCTCAGAATCTCCTGCGGTGGGCGTGGTTTCTGTTCCCTCCGTCCCTGTTTGAGAAGGAAAGTGAGTCACACACAGAGAAGCACAGGTAGGATCTGAAAGAAGGCCGCCTTCGGGGCTCCTTTGGGAAAACAAACCATGGACGTTTTTCTGTGTCTGCCCCTCAGCTTCGCGCTGGTGAGCGACAAGATGTACCAGCGCAAAGAGCCGGTCATCAGCTCCGTGCACGCCAAGGTGAAGGGCGTGGCGGAGGTGACCGAGGAGGTGGTGGGCGGAGAGAAGAGGCCGGCTCAGAGGGTCTTTGACACGGCAGACTACACCTTCTCCTTGCAGGTGAGCACCCGGCACTCCTCCCAGCCCTGGGCCCTGGCGACAGAGACCGGGGCCTCGCCCCGCTTCCCTGGGACTCAGGGGCTCAGTCAGGAAGGCACTGGCCTCATTTAAACAGCTCTCTGCAAATCCCAACTGAGAAAACCTAAAAACTGCGAAAGTGGGCCAGACGCAGCCGCTCCAGTCCTACGGGGCTTCCCGAAATAACGGCGCGTCCCGGCGCGATTCAGCACGGTTTGGGCAGCTGGGCCAGCTGTGGACACGCCGGCTGGAAGCAGGGCGAGGCCTGCGCAGGTGCGGGAGGGTGGTGGGACTGGGCCGGCCCTGCGCTTGACCTGTCATCACCCCGAGGCCTCCGGGACACCATCCCGGGCACACTGGCCCGTGAGGGAAGGATGAGGGGACAGAAGGTGGGGTGGGAACAGGCCTGGGACGGCTCGGCCAGCAAGCGAGAAAGGGAAGCCGTCACCACGGGGAAAGGGGCGTTGGGGACGCGAGGAACAGGCGTGGGCGGGAGCCTGCACACCCCGTCCAGCCCGCGCTGCTGCCGTCTGCTGGTGCCGCGGGCAGGAGGCCCTTTCGCCCTGTCATTAAGTCCTGAAAAATCTGGACAGCGCCCCAGGATGCAGCCCACACCCCGCCCCCAGCTCCCCGCTCTCCGAGTTTCAGCTGAATGCGATTTCCTGGGTCAGAGGAACGAACCCGCCGCTTTTGAGGCTGGGGTGGCACGGACGTCCCTTCGCTCCCCCTCGGCCCAGCAGGACGGCGCGGGCAGCTTCAATCTGAAGCGCTTGGCAGGTTGCGCGTTGCCCACGGACCTGGATTTCCAGGCGCTTGAAAGAAAGAGTGCACGCTTCACCCCCGGGCACTCGGTGAGCTGCACGGTAGGATGAAGCGGTTCTGGCCTCCAGGGCCTGCTGAGCTCCTCCTCCTCTCCTCTCTCTCTGCAGGGAAACTCCTTCTTCATGATGACAAACTACCTCATAACGGAAGGCCAAGAGCAGGGCCGGTGCCCGCAGGTAAGGCACGACCGCTGGTGTGGAGGGTTGGGGCAGCCCCGGCTCAGAGGTGACGGAAAGGGGAACACACCTGCCTCTCTGTGGGGCAGGGCCGGGCAGGAGGAGGGTATGCCGACGTCACAGGTCTCTCTTTGTCTGTCCCCCTTGACCTCCCGCTGTGGCACTCAGGGCCTGTGGACCCTGGAGACCTGCCTCTCCCATGACCGGCTCCCTGGGTAGCTCAGGGCAATGCATAACTAATTCCACAGCTCACTGGCACCTCACAACAACTGCAGGCAGAGAGCAGCATCCACAGCCCCACTGTACAGGCTCAGAGAGGTTAAGTGACTTCCCCAGGGTCACCCAGTTCGCTGGAGGGAGAGCCAGGATTAGAAGCTGGGCGTCCTCATTCACAGCTTCTCCTACCAGGGTCCACTGTGAACTCCCACTTCTCATGGTTTCATTCTCTTTGTGAGATGCAAATGGCCCTAGGCCACTGCCGCCCCCATGGTTTTCCCACCCCTAATTTGACTTGCATCTCCGCGCGCTTGGCCTTCCCCTGCCTCTGCCCTGGACACTTTCTTCTCTGTCAACCTTCGCAGTCTGCTGCCTGTGCGTTCAGAAGGAAACCGGCTGTTCTTAAGCTTCCCTCTGTCTGTGCGTGGCCGCCAGCGTTACCCGGTTCCCCTCAGGCGACACCTGTGCAGCCACTCCCTCAGGGAGGCAGCAGGTCCTCTGGCTGTGGTAGGGTCAGCCTCGGCCTGGCTGTGAGCTCCTGCTCACCAGCTCCTCTGGCGACAAGACCATGTTTTCTCAATCAATTTTTTTGGGGGGGTTGGGATATTTTTATCTTTTTGAGACAAGGTCTCGTTATGCAGTTGAGGCTGGCCTTGAGCTCACTGTGCAGCCCAGGCTGGTCTCAAACTCAACAATCCTCCTGCCTCAGCCTCCTGAATGCTGGGATTACAGGCGTGCGTCACCACACCCGGCAAGACCTTGTTTTCTAAGGGTCAGGGGTTCTGGGTCAAAGAGCTCCCCTCGTACAATCTCTGTCACCTGTGACCCAAATTTGGAACCAAGCGGACCTTCCCTCGGTGTCTCCCCTGAGGGGTGCCCTGGTCTCCCGACTGCGCAGCCCCTGGGGTGAGGGGGCTGGCGGCCTCTGTGTATGGATTAAGGATGACCTCGCACTTGCCACCTCATGGCCATCCTTAATCCATACACAAATCACAAGCGAGAAGAATAAAACTGAACTAATATTTTTCTTTTAAGTTTAGAATGTCTTTTGGAGCACAAAATAGAATTAATTTATCTTTTTCCTACAAGTTCCTTCCAACTGATAATGCAAACTGTCCATAAACCACAGCAAATGCCAGTTCATTCATCCACTCATTCATCACTCATTTCTTCCATGTTTGTCAAGACTACTACCTGTATATAACCAGGAATGGTGGTGAACACCTATAATCCCAGCATTCAGGAGGCTGAGGCAGGAGGATCTCCATGAGTTCCAAGCCAGTCTGGGCTACATAGTGAGTTCAAAGTCAGCCTGAACTACATAGCAGGAGCCTGTCTCAAGCAACCAAAGAAAACAAGAATACTAACTGTGTGTGTCAGGCAGGCAGTGGGGCTACAAGGATATGACCCGGGCTTCACGGTCAGAGGGTTCATAGTGTCATTTGAGGGGTCACAAGGAGAGGAACCCCGAGGCCTGGTGGGTGACAGAGAGAAGGCGATCTGGGAGGAAAAAGAAGATGAGTTTGAAGATGAGGAGAAACATGATTTGTCTCGCTGTTACAGATAAGGGCGCTGAGGCTTAGCGAGAAGCCACTTAGCCAGAAAAGGGAGCTGCGCTCACGGAGCCCAGGTCCTCGCCGGCATGTGTGTCAGAGCCCGGGGGACAGTGGCTGCTTTAACAGCCGGGTCATCACACTCGTTCCCCCGGGCCACCATGAAGCTGCTCCCCGGAGAGGCCGGCCGCATCTGCACGGACCGAGCCCTCCCGGTCCCCTTTTCTTGCTCCGTCCCGCAGCCCTGAGAGTGGCCTTGTTTCCTCAGGCTGGCAGAAAGCGCTAGCTGGTGTCCTTTTCTTCCCAGCCAGCTGATGTCCCCTACTTCACCTCCCCGCCCGTCTGCAGCCACAGGGCTGCCTGGGCCGGCCGCCTGCTCCACCACCTAGGCCCTGCCGTCCAGCGGCCCCTGGTTGCTTACATTTTTATTCTTTACCGAGATGTAATTCACGTACCATAAAACCCTCACCTAAAGTGCACGGTGCAGAGATGTTTAGTCTCTTCCTACGGGGCGGGGGCAGCCGTGGCCGCTCTCTCACTCCAGAACATGCCACGGTGCTGGCGGAAACCTCGTCCCTCTCCACGCCTCCCCCTCAGCCCCTGCCCACCAGCAGTCCACTCTCTGTCCCATGGCTTTGCCTTTTTGGGGACATTTCCTCGGAAGAGAATCCCAGGGGGTGGCTTTTGTGACTGGCTCCTCCACCCAGCGTGGTGTTTCTGGCATGCAGCCAGGACGGGGCAGGTGACAGCGCGTGCTCAGGCCACGCTGTATCTGTCCACTGCCCTTCGCTGGACACTTGGTCCGTCTTCACGCTTTGGTGGCTGTGAGTCACCACGCCGTGAGTAGTTGGTGCACGGGTCCCACCGTGTGACACGGGCGTCAGCGTCCCCGGATCTCGTGACGCCCTCGCTGTCCCCGCCCTGTCCTCCTCCACAGTTCCCCACACGCAGGACGCTCTGCCTCTCCGACCAGGACTGTAAGAAGGGCTGGCTGAACCCTCAAAACCAAGGTACTGTGCTCCGCCCTGAGCCCCTGGGGGGCTGGCCTGGCATCTTGGTGGCATCCCCGGCGCCCATCCCGTCACTGGCCTCTGGCTGTCCGCCGCCTTCCTCCTCCTCCACCCAACCTCAGCCGCGCCTGCGTCCGCCCCGTGCCCTGGCTGTGTCCCCAGGAGACTGGCTGTGCCCTTGAATGGGACCCCAATGTCCCAGGGAGGGAAATTCCTCCACCCGAGGCACGGCCAGGTCGAAACCGTAGAAAATCGCATGGCCCATAGCATCTTCTTTTTTATATAGATTTTATTTTTTGGTACCAGGAATCAAACTCAAGGCCTCAAGCTTGCCAGGCAGGCGCTGTGCTGCTGAGCTATGTCCCCAGCCCTGCTTCTTTTAAGTGTTCTAAATTTCCTGCTGAATTTCCCCAAATGCAGAGGATGACCTTGAACCCCCCCCCCCCCGCAAGCCTGGGGGCAGAACCCATGTTAACCTGAAGAACGCCCTCATCTCATGTTCTAACTCAAAAAGACACAGGACAGTGCTGGGGTGTGGCTCACCAGGACAGCGCTCGCTCACCGGGCCTGTGTGTGGGCTTGCGTTCCGTTGCCAGCATTGGGTAGGGGGAGCATAGAAGAAAAAAACACACAAAGGAATATCGCTGGGCCTGGTGGTCCACGTCTGTAATCCCAGCACTTGGGAGGCTGAGGCAGGAAGATCACTGCAAGTTCAAGGTCAGCCTGGGCTACATAGTGAACTCAAGGCCAGGCTGAACTATGCACTATGACCCTCTCTCAAAAACAAAGCAAATCCACAAAACCGCCAGTGGTCATAATGTACAATGCAATGTATGAACGCTGCATTCTGTTCCAGAAAATGTATATATTCAAGGTGGCACAGAGATCCTTGCAACACAGCCCACCATTTAACCAAGTCTCCCTTGGGGCTGGGGATTTAGCTCAGCGGCAAAGCTCCTCCCTGGCAAGCACAAGGTTGTGAGTTCGATTCCTGGTACCGGAGAAAAACCAAAAAAAAAAAAGTCTCCCTTGTTCTGACACCCTGGAATGACATCCCATGGTCATTCCGTGGCTTTTTGCAGCCCTGAGTGGGGTGCGTACCCTGGAGAGACTGAAGCGAGGTTCTAGTTCACGGGTCCCCGGTGAGAGGAGGCACGGGGCTCCCTCTCAGCATCTTTCCTTGTGTAAAAAAAGGTGGGGGCAACTGAATGCAGTATTTTTCTGCGCTCTCTCTCTGGTCCCTTTTTAGAAGCTTACTGTTACCAAATGTGCTGGCACATGCCTGTAATCTCAGCTACTTAGGAGGCTGAGGCAGGAGAATTGCAAGTTCAATTGCAAGCCTGGGCAACTTAGTGTGGCCCTGTCTTAAAAATGTGAAAAAGGGGCTGAAGATGTTGCCCCATGATAGGCCTGTAGTGTGTGAGTCCCCAGCAACACACACACACACACACACACACACACACACACACACAGAGGCTTCCTGTTTTTGTCTGCTTTGTCTGGGGTGTCAGTGGAAAGCATGCGGTCCCCAGGACCTGCAGCTTCCTGGGTGTCCGTGGCGGCCTCTGAGGAATTTCCCCCTCGACAGTCTGCTCACATCCGGGTTCTGGGACCCCTCCCCCTCGTAGGAATCCAGACCGGCAAGTGTGTTGAATACAACACGACCGCGAAGACCTGCGAAGTCTCCGCCTGGTGTCCCACCGAGGTGGTGGAGGAGGCTCCCAGGTGAGCCGCGCGGGGAGGGGAGCGGGGACAGACCACAGAGTCCTGGGTCTTCCTGGCCTGGGGACCCCTGTGCCAGGCTCGGGCTTGGCACACTCCAGCGGCCCCGGGCGGCTGTGCTAGCTGCTAAAATGTTGAGGTGATTCCATTCTGGCTGATGCGCAGCTACTCCCGTGAGCACCCCTGGGTGCCCAGCACCTTCCCGGGCACCCCAGACCCTCCCTGTAGTACCACAGCAGAGCGCTGTGACAGTCGGTGCCATACGGAGTGAAAGGGCAGGGAGGAAGAAGGGAGGGAGGGAGGGAAGGAGAAAGAAAGGAGAGAAATGAAAAGGAAGAGGCAAAGGGAAGAGTGTGGAGAACAGTTTCCTCCGATGCCCACAGGATTTATTGGTTTTGAGCCCCCTGTATTAATTCTCTAACAGGAGGTTAACCTCAGTAAGCACAGAGCTAGTGGGCATGGTGGCGCACACCTGTAATCTCAGTGCTTGGGAGGCTGAGGCAGGAGGATTGTTACGTGTTCAGTACCAGCCTGGGCTGTAAAGTGAGCTCAAGGCCAGCCTGAACTGCATAGCGAGAGCCTGTCTTAAAAAGGACCAAAAAAAAAAAAAAAAAAAAAAAGGCACAGGGCCAATGCATTTCATCAGGGAAGAGTTGGAAAGATCTGGATTCAAATCCTGCCTCTAGCGCATCTGTCTGTGTGAACTTGGAAAGTGGCCTAACCTGTCAGTCACACTTACAAAATGAGAATGCTAACCGTGTCTGCCCTGTGGGGCTATTTAAATGAGATGAGCTTGGTCAGGCATTGTAAAGTGAGTCACGTGCCTGGTTTATAGAGAGACAGACAGACAGACACACACACACACACATATACAGTCCACCTCTAGAATGTGGTGGTCGTAGGCCAGCACTGTCTAACAGAACTTCCTGAAATTGTGGGGATCTTCTATACTCATGCTGTCCAAAAAGTATGACAGCTACATGTGATTACTGAGTACTTGAAATCTGGCAACTGCAACTGAGCAGCTGGATCAAACCTTGCCTGAAGCCAGAACTGTGGATGCCTCATTTACTGGAGGGAAAAACATAAGTCAGGGTGCTGGAGAGAGAGCTCAGCGGTAGAGCATGCCTCGCAGGCCAAGTGTTCAATCCCCAGGACCTCTGCGCAATCTAAAGCCAGTTAAATTGAATTTCTGTCATTTATACGGAGAAAAATCTTAATTTCAATTAAATTGAAATTGAAATGGCCACACACTGCCCAGGATTGCTACACCGAGGGACACAGCCCTGCTCCCTCTGCGTGTGACACAGAGGACGCCCCGCCCCATGCTGGCGTGCAGGGAGCCGGGCCGAGGTCTGGGCCAGCATCACCCCGCTTGGCCCTCAGTTGTCAGCCTAGATGCATTTCTAGGTCACAGAAGTTTCTGGCACAGAAGGAACGGATGCGATGGGTGGGACACCACCCAAGTAGTTCTTGGTTCAAAACAAAAGACCCCTTGACGGACGCTGGCTTTCGGTTCTGCTCTGCCACTAGCTTGCTCATGAGACAAATGCCACACAGCTCCCAGTGCCTGGCCCTGGGCTGCACGGTGACCTGGCCTGGAGCCCGCAACCCCTGAAAGTCAGTTTCCTCGCCTGTTATATAAATGAGCTAAGATGGTTCATTTATTCATTCAACAAACCTACCACTACATAGCAAGCGTTAGATATTTATTGCAAATGTGATAACTCATGTAAAACATAGTCCTTCAAAAAAAAAAAAAACAAGTCCTGAATATGTAGCAAGTCCAAAAGCTCTTCCAGTCTCATGAGCAGAGAAGACATGCACAGAGAACTGTACTTCAAAACAGAAAGTCATAATGCCATGCAGGGGGCATAAGGCTGCAGGTCCTGTAGTCCCCCAGTTCTTAAGGACTTCCCAGGTGGGGGCTTGGTGTGTCCCGCACATAGCAGACACTTTTTTTTTTTTTTTTCTGGTACCAGGAATCGAACTCACAACCTTGTGCTTGCCAGGAAGGCGCTGTGCTGCTGAGCTAAATCCCCAGCCCCTATAGCAGACACTTGCTGTAAGTTTCTGTCAGCGCAAATGACAGAATTCCAACTTAAACTGGTGTCTCAAAGACAGCATCAGTGACTCCAGCAAAAGAGGCATCTGAAATTTCTGGCTTCAGACAAGGCTTGAGCCAGGCTCCAAAGATACCAGGAGGATTTTTTCCTCCTTCCTCTTCCACTCTTCTCCTTCATCCTTTCTTCCGGCTTGGCCTTCCTTACACCGCACCCCACGGAATTTCAGGTTCCCACTGGCCTATGAACAATCCCAGCACAAATGCGTTTCTCTTTCCTAATTGTTTGCGCACAAAAAAAGCCAGAATGTTCTCCCTGGGCTCAGTCACACGGCCACCAGTGACTCGGGCACCATGGCCGGGGAAATGGACCGCACTGCTCAGCCAGCCCCGGGGCCTAAGCCTGTGGATGGACAGGAAGTGGGGTCGTCCCCACCAGTGCTCTGGAGGGAGCGGGGCAGAGGGCTGGCTTCTCCACAGAGCGGAAACTGAGGCCGTGTCACCGGAGGGGGCTAGACGGTGGACAGGCCAAGGTGACGGTGCTCACGACAGCAATATCACACACGGAGCCAGGGCGTGCTCAGCAAGTCCTGGGGTGGAAGGCAGACCGTTCTCAGCGCCCCTTCCAAGAGCCCCGCCCCCTCCCTGTGCCATCCATGCCCACCGGGCAGCAGGTGCCAGCTGTATCTTTGCGGCATTCTCCCTCTTTCACGGACTGTCCCTGGTCGCCGTCTCCCAGTGCCCACCTCCCTGCTCAGCAGCATAGGTGTTTGCGGAACTCACGGAGGGACAGATGGCGCCGGTCCTGCTGAGCCGGGGCCTGGGCTCCCCTACCTCACGTGGCCCGGGGGGCCACGCAGGCCTCTCAGGAATGACCGATGCCGCCCACGCGCTGTGTGGCTCCGTGCTGGCAGCTGGCAATGCCAAGAGCAGGGAGTTACCGTCCCAGCCGTGCGGAGCCGCAGGCCTACTGGGAAAGGCACAGGCAGGGGCGGCCAGAGCTGGCTGAGACTGGCCCAGGTCAGTTATGCTCATCTCTTCCCAACTGCAGATGTCCCCGGGGCAGTGGGAAGCCAGCCACAGCCGGAGCCTTCCCCACAGTAATCAGCAAACACAGTATTCACGGTCTTTTCTCCCTTAGAGAGCTGGCTGTTAAATATCTGTCAACAAACCACTGCACATATCTAAATATACAATGACATCAAAGAGTAAAAAGTGACACTGTAAACGCCAAGGAGTCTCAAGAAGGGAGAAATTCTGATACACGCCTATAATGTCAGCACTCTGGGAAGCTGAGGCAGGAGGATCACAAGTTCAAGCCTAGCCTGGACAACTTAGTGACTTAGCAAGACTCTGCCTCAAAATAAAAATCAAAAAAGGATTGGAGATGTAGTTCAGTGTGAAGACCCTGGGTTTAGACCCTAGTACCAGAGAGAGAGAGACAGAGAGAGAGAGGGAGAGATTCTTTTTGAGAAGCTAGAGGCTTTATGCACACTCTTAGAGGGTCTTGTCCATTAGCTTTCTGTATCCATTTCTCTTCGCTCATCCCAAAGACTAAAGCACAAAACTACAACCTTAGAAGCCTCGGGTCCCGTTGGCCCACTGGACTGACCCATCTAGAGCCAGTAGTTGCTGACCCCTACTCCTCTCCCCCAGGCCTGCGCTCCTGGGCAGTGCTGAAAATTTCACAGTGCTCATCAAGAATAACGTTGACTTCCCTGGCCACAACTACACCACGTAAGTGCCCAGAATGCCTGGTTGTATCAGTTAGTCCCCTATGCTATGCTGTGTAACAAATGATCCCAAGCCTCTAGAGCCCAAAACTAAGAACACTTCTTGTTGACCCCAATTTCTGTGGGTCAGGAACTTGGGAATGGCTCCACTGGGAGGCTCTGGCTCAGGGTCTTGCAGGCTCTAGTCCAGCTGTCTTCGGGGTCAAAGTCACCATCATACTTGGTGGGGGCAGGGAATCCTCTCCAGGCTCTCCTGCATGGTGGCAGGAAGGTGGCTGAGTGTGCTTAGGACACAGTGGCCGGCTTCCCTACAGCAAAGGGCCCCAAACAGGAGGAGAATAACCAAGGTGGAAGCCACAGTCTTTGCCCACGAGGTCCCATCACTGTGTTGTGTGCTGCTGGTCACACACTGGCCCTGGCACAGTGTGACAGCATGCTCCACAGCGGTCCCCAGGGAGGCAGGGGTACCAGGAGCTGCCACACCGGGTCACACCAGCGCAGCGTCTGTCTGTCTGCTTTTAACACCACCCAGGAGAAACATCCTGCCGGGCCTGAACGCCTCTTGCATCTTCCACAAGACGCAGGACCCCCAGTGTCCCATTTTCCGACTAGGAGACATCTTCCGGGACGCGGGAGACAACTTCTCCGAGGTGGCCGTCAAGGTGGGCGGGGTCTCTGTGCCCTGGGGCTGCGTCCCGGGGTGGGCGGTCTCGGGCGACCACGAGGTGGCTCAGGGGCAGTGAGGGTCTAGTAATTCCCCCGCGCGGGCCGGCCCCGCTGATGTCGCTTCTTCGCAGCCCACAAGCCTGGGAGTGAGCTGCCTGCGGTGTTAATTTCCGGTGACCATTGTGACAGATGACCACGAAGTTGGGGCTTAAAACAACCACATTTTCTTTATTTCTGGAGGTCAGAGTCCGAAATTAGTTTTCCTGAGCCCAGATCAAGTTGTCAGCCCTGCCAGGCGCCCTCTGGAGGCTGTCGGGGGGAACGCATGTCTTGCCTTCAGAGTGGCTTCCTGTTTTTCTTCTTCTTTTTTTTTTTTTTTTTTTTTTTTTTTTTTTTTTTTTTTTTTTTTTTTTTTTTTTTTTTTGTTTTTTCTCCGGTACCGGGAACCGAACTCACGACCTTGTGCTTGCCAGGCCGCTGAGCTAAATCCCCAGCCCCTTTCTCTCTTCTTTTTCCTCGACTTTCACTTCCCATTCCACTTCTTCCTCTTCCTCTTCTTCTCTTTTTATTGTTTTGTCCTTTTGAGACAGACTCTCCCTATGTAGTCCTGGCTGGCCTCCAACGCTCAGTGATCCTTCTGCCTCAGCCTCCCAAGTGCTGGGATTACAGGAGTGCACCACCACACCCGGTTCTTCCTCTTTTTCTCTTTCTCCTTCTTCTCTTTTTGCAATATTGCAGATTGAGGCCAAGGCCTTTGCACCAAGCTATACGCCCAGCCTTTTTATTTGGAGATAGGGTCTTGTTAAATTGCCTAGGCTGGACTCAAATTTGCCATCCTCCTGCCTCAGCCTCCTGAGTAGCTGGAATTACAGGTGTGTGCTATAGTGCCCAGCTCCTTGCACTTGTTGGTTTGTGGCCCCTTCCTCCATCTGTTAAGCTGGCATGGGGCACCTTGCTTCAGTGGGAACAGTGACTCACTCCGGTCAGAGCGCCCTCTGCCTTGTCTTATAAAAACACTTGTCTTTAAGGCACAAGAATTGGGTGCTAAAGACCTGCCGGGGTAACCTGGGATAATCTTCCCTCTCAAGACCCTTCACTCACACTGCCAGGAGCCTTCCTTCACTATGGAGTACTGAGATAAATGAGAGGAGCTATGAAACCCATAGGTTTCAACATGATCTTTTTTTGTTGTTGTTGTTTCCGGTACCGGGAATCGAACTCACAACCTTGTGCTTGCCAGGCAGCACTGTGCCACTGAGCTAAATCCCCAGCCCCTTCAACATAATCTTGAACAATGGGACGCTAAAGATTTGTGTGCAGAAATGGTTTGAGTGCAGGAATGATTTATTGGATGTTATATTCTAGAAATAAGTCTAAGGAGCCAGGCGTGGTGGCACATGCTTGCAATCCCCGCGCTCGGGAAGCTGAGGCAGGAGGATCGCCTTGAGTTCGAGGCCAGCCTGAACAACATAGGGAGACCCTGTCTCACCCACAACAACAAAAGCCTAAAAGTGATGTGTCCTATACAACACGCACAGCACTCGGCTCACATTGATGGCTCTGAAACCTTTCATCAGCACTCTCCCGCTAACCGCGAGCCTTTCCTGCATGTGCGTGTGCGTGTGCTGCGGGCGAGGGCCGGGGCTGCGGCGCCCGTGCCCAGCAGGCTCACGGAGCGTCTGCTGTGGCCCTCACACCCGCAGGGAGGAATCATGGGCATCGAGATCAACTGGGACTGCAACCTGGACAGGTGGTTCCACCGCTGCCGCCCCAAGTACAGCTTCCGGCGCCTCGACGACAAGACCGCCAGGGAGTCCTTGTATCCCGGCTACAACTTCAGGTAACAGCTCTCCGGCTCAGACCCGCTGAGGCGGCAACACTCAGAAAACAGAAAACACAGGCCGATAAAATCACCCGTAGATCCTGTAGCTTGAGGTAACCATGGCAACCTGGAGTGAATGCTCTTCCTCCACCAGTTCTGTCGTGCACTTTGAACTTGTCTTTCTGGGTGGCGGGGGAGGGGGGGATCGCATTTGTGATAACAGCCCATGGTGTGGGTTACTGATGGTTACTGCAGTTTAGGGAGGGTCCTCTACATACCAGCCTCTCACAAGCCCTCTGTGGCCCTCTCCACCACCCTGGGCGGTAGCTACTAGTGCTCCTGGTTTAAGCCAGAAAGGTTAAATGATTTGCCCCAGACCCACAACTAAGACTCCTAATTCTTTGTTTTGTCTTTTTGAGACAGGGTCTTACTATGCAGTTCAGGCTGGCCTTGAGCTCACTTTGTAGCCCAGGCAGCCCCGAATTTGCAAGGATCCTCCTGCCTCAGCCTCCCCAGTGCTGAGATTACAGGCACATGCCACCACACCTGGCTTGCAAGAGCCCTAATTCTAACCCTGATTGCCATGATCCCAAAACGTACTCTTTCCTTTTTATCTCAAGACTTACTTATTCTTTCTCTATAATTGATAGTTTGCCTGCCGGGTGTGGTGGCGCTCGCCTATAATCCCAGCACTCAGGAGGCTGAGGCAGGAGGATCATTGTGAATTTAAGGCCAACCTGGACTATATCGTGAGATCAGCTCAACCTATGGCACTATCTTTCTAGGGTTTTTTTTTTTATGTGGTTGTACTGAAAGCCATAAACTTCTGTGCATTCTTCTCTGGCTCTATGGACCCTCCTCCTCCTGTCTGCTCCCCTCTATGATTCCGTCCATGCCGGCCTATTGTCTGAAGCACCTGGCGTGCAGTTCCCCCCGTGGCCCCTGGACTATTCACTGGCGGCTCATCTGCAGCAGGAACGAGTTCGGGCGAAGCCCTGCATGTCCGGGGCACACGGGCATCTCCCTGGAGGGACAGTGTCACCCTGAGCCGGCCCTGCAGGCGTGAATAGCGTGTGCCCCCTGCAAGCCAGTTTTTAGCATGATTTCTGGGCTTGGGGTTTGTTCTCCCTGCAAAAGAGACCACTCCTTCTCCCTGGCTGTGCAGGTTTCTGCAGTCCCTGCCCCACACCCCGTAACCTAGGAAACTCTGGCTGCCCAGAGGGACATTCAGCTGAGGCGCTCCCTGAGGTCACAGCGCTGCCACCCCTCCTCCCCGAGTAGCGCCCAGAAAGAGTCCTCTCTGCACGGAGCTCAGTACTGCGAGTGTGTGTGTGTGTGTGGCCGGGGATCAAACCCAGAGCCTCCCACATGCCAGGCAAGGGTGCTACCACGGAGGTGCACCCCCAGATAGTCCGTCTTGGACTTCCGTGTGCCTGTGCGATGCTGGGATCCTCTGTCTGGTCGCTCCTCAGCTCACTGTGGGGTTCCACCCTGATAAACCCGTCACGGCTGAAACAGCGCGGGCGGAAGCTGCGCTGAGGAAGTGCACCCTTCCCACTTAGAAACAGCACACGGTAGAGCGACGGGCATCACCTCCCACGGTCGGGCTTCTGCCGGGCAGCGGCAGCTCAGTGCCCCTGCCCACACCACAACAGGACATCTTGCCAGCCCGGGAAAATATCAAAATTCAAAATCAGAAGTGTGAGCCAGGTGTGGTGGCGCCCACCTATAACCCCAGCTACTTAGGAAGCTGAGGCAGGAGGATCGCAAGTTCCAGGATAGCCTGGACAACTTAGTGAGACCTTGTTTTAAATTAAATAAAAAGGGGTAAGGATGTAGCTCAGGCCTTCCTGGGTTCCATCCCCACTGGTGGAAAAAAGCAAAGAAAAAAAAACCCACATGTGATTTCTACTGAATATACTTGGCTTCAACAACTTTTCTTTTTTTTTACTTTTGGGGGTTTTTGTTTTTTGGTTTTGTTTGTTTGTTTGCTTTTTGAGATAGTCTTGCTATGTAGTCCAGGCTGGCTTTGAACTTACTGTGTAGCCCAGACTGGTCTTGAACTTGTAGTGATCCTCCTGCCTCAGCCTCCTAAGTGCTGGGATTACAGGTGTTCACCACCATGCCCCCCTAAAATTCTTAAGGGCTGGCAATTCCAAATGTCAGCAAGGAGAAGCGCACTGAAACTCTCCTCCATTCCTGAAGGATGTATAAAGTGGTGTGAGCACATTAGGAGCTATTCAGAAATTTCCTATAAAATCAAATACACATCTACCCTGTAATCCAGAAACCCCACAATCCCATCTTAGCTATTTCCCCAAGAGAAATGAAAATATATGACCACACAAAGATTCATGGGCAATGTTCGTTGAAGTTTTATTCAGAACAGCTAAAAACTCAGGAAGCTGAGGCAGGAGGATCGGTGCGAGTTCAAGGCCAGCCTGGGCTACAAAATGAGTTCAAGGCCAGCCTGAACTGCATAGTGAAACACTGTCTCAAAAAGACAAAAACAGGGGCTGTGGATTTAGCTCAGTGGCACAGCGCCTGCCTGGCAAGCGCAAGGTCATGAGTTCGATTCCCAGTACCGGAAAACAAACAAACTTGGTATATGTAAAAAGGAACAAGCTACGGGCACAGCCGCAGCCCAGACGAGCCCGCCGCAGGTGGCAGGCCGAGTGCAGGCTGAGCCCGGGCTCCGCAGTGTCCCTTGGGTGAAGCTGGCAAACAGGCAAAGCGTGGGTCTGAGGTGACGGGAGGCAGGGCAGGGGCTGCCGGGTGGGCCGGAGCTGAGTGGAAGGAATGCAGGAGGTCTGCGGGGTAATGGGGTGCTCTGAGCTAGTGGGACTTTGATTATGCAGGGGAGTTATTTGTCACGACTCACTTAGAACTTGTGCGCCTCAGTACACGTAAGTTACACCTCAGTAGAACAAACAAATTCAACTAGGCTATTGCTGATACGTGCTACGGAGAAAATCCAGCAAGATGGGGTCACAAGAGGAGGCCTCTCCAAGCAGGGAGAAGGACCCCAGCAACCATCATTCCCTTTCCAAAGGGTGGTGCTTTCCAAGTTAGGAACACAGATAGGTGTGGAGGTGTACTATAATCCAGGCACTTGAGAGGCTGAGGCAGGAGAATCTCCATGTGTTCGAGGGAACCTGGGCTACACAACGAGTTCAAACCCAGCCTGTACTACATAGCAAGACCTGTTGCCAGGCGTGATGGCACATGCCTGTTATCCCAGCACTCAGGAGGCTGAGGCAGGAGGATCCTTGTGAGCTCAAGGCCAGCCTGGGCTACAAAGTGAGCTCAAGGTCAGCCTGAACTGCATAGCAAGACTCTGTCTCAAAAAGACCAAAAACATAAATTGTTTGATTTAAAATTTTGTTTTTTTCAGACGGTCACACTCTGTAGTTCAGGCTGGCCTCAACCTCGAGGCAATCCTCCTGCCTCAGCCTTCTGAGTGCTAGGGTTACAGGCATGCACCACCACACTTGGCCCAAATATTTTCTTATACAAAAAGAAAGATTGCATTTTCTAAGTTCACTGTTCTCCTTCCCAACAGAAAGCTGATGGCAGTCTCTAGTCCACAGGAGGTTTCCTTTAGGGCTGTTGTATAATTGGCCTTGTCTCTGGGTCCTAAATTTCCATCTCTGGGGTCTACTCCAGCCCAGGGCTTCCCATCCTGAGAGCCTGCCCTGCACCTGAGAAACCCTGTTCCGAACAAGGTCCAGGGCGCAGCGCCTGTGGTTTGGGACTCAGCCGCTGTTCAACCCAGTAGAGTTTGCAAAAGCACGCGGGGCCCAGGGTTCCTGCCAACGCAGGCCACCGCCTGCCAGGCCTGGACTGGAAATGCAGATTCCTAGGAATGTCTCAGACCTTCTGAAAGCACTCTGGGTTCAGGCGCTGGGGTTTGCCTTTTGTTTTTTGTTTTGTTTTGCTTTTTTTAGGCAGGGTCTCGCTATTAGTCCAGGCTGGCCTTAAACTCACACTGATCCTCCTGCCTCAGCCTCCTGAGTGCTGGGATTACAGGCGTGTACCACACAGTTTGTCTTTTGAGCACACTGTCCACAGGTAATTCTTGCCCTTAGTGTAAGAACCACTGGAATCAGACCCGGGAAGCAGAGATGCGAGTACTTACCGCACGATGTTAACCTTGCCAGGCAAATCTCCCGCTCACCCGCTCGGAGAGCCTCGGAAGAAAGCGCCTCTGAGAACGGGACAATCAAGCAGAAAGAAACCGAAACCCTCCTGCCCAGAAAGAGGTGTTCCGGTCCCTGAGAAGATCTAACTGGTCTCAGGGTCAGACTTTTAGCAAAAAGGGTTTTGGACGTTCACATTATGTTGGCAGAAAATCCTTCTTCCGTTTTCCTCTCCCCCAACACCTGCAAATAGGTTCTGCATGACTTGGAGAGAAAAGGCATCGCCTTCCAAAAATGACTGCAAAAGGTGGTGAGGGGGCGGGGCATATTTAAAAGCATCACAAAACAGATGGCTTAAGTCTTCCTAATTATTTATAAAAAGAAAACATACTTTTCCCGGCTACAGCCCTGCTGGGAACTGCCTGTTTAGGCTGACTACAATTTGTGCCAGGTCTTAATTTTTTAGGTGATTCAGTGAGACAAAGAAGACCAGGCGTGGTAGTGCATGCTTGTGATTGCAGCATTCAGGAGGCTGAGGCAGGAGGATCGTGGCAAGTTCAAGGGCAGCCTGGGTTACATAATGAGGCCCTGTCTCAAAAAGAAAAGAAAAAGAGAGAGAGGCAAAGAGAGGTTGGTGACACTGAAGGAAGAATGGTCGCAGACGTTTCCCAAGAGATACAAGCAGGCTGCACCAGTGCCGCAGCGCTTGTGGTCAGGAGGCAGAAGATAAAGGGCAGAGGGCCGGAAGCGGTCCTGGGATTTTCGAGGAAAGCGGAGCGGGTTGGGAAGACCGCTGAGGGCAGCCAGTGTGGCCAGCGGCACCTGGGGCTCGGGGTAACAAACAATTCTGCACAACTTTTCTAAAACTGCAGAACGTACAGCTAGGACAGATTCTGCGGTGCACCTGTCCCCGCTAGTCCCGTAACTGGTATCTCAAGCTCGTCCTTCCTCCCCTCACTGCTTTGTTCTAGAAGCAAAACCTATTTTCCTTCTTAACTATCACATTGCTTGAAGCTTTTTAAAACAATTCCTTTGCTTACTGTGAATCCTGTATTGGTTAAACTTTTGTTCATTTGAATTTTTTTGGAGACAGAGGCTCACTATGTAACACAGGCTGCCTTCGAACTCATAGCAATCCTCCTGCCTCTGCCTCCTGAGTGCTGAGATTATGGGCATGCACCACCATGCCTGGCCTGTTCATTTTACATGTTCACAACAGAGCCATAACCTGTACGTCTCGCTACCGGGTGGCTTGAAGCACTGGTGGTGCATGCGTGACCGTCCCGTGTGATGTCCCACCTGTACCACCAGCTGTGCCAGCCGCCTAAAAGGTAGACAAGAAGACAGGTTTGGTGACTGGCTCGGTTTTTCTTTCCATAAAATACCAGCACTCTCAAAGAGAGCGAGGTAAATACGGCTGCTTCTCCTCCTGCAGGTACGCCAAGTACTACCGGGAAAATAATGTGGAGAAACGAACTCTGATGAAAGTCTTCGGGATCCGTTTTGACATCCTGGTTTTTGGCACGGTGAGTCTCGAGGTCCTGCCCGGATGGCCGAAATGGGATAAGAGCATCACGCTGCAGGTCCCATGGTCTCCGCCGTGGGGAGCGAGCACAAGGCTCTGCTTCCTGCTGGGACGACAGTGACGCCCGGATGCGAGGACGGAAGAGTGCGGCCTGAATTCCACTTGGTAACTTGTCCTGCTCGCTTCCAGGGAGGAAAATTCAACATTATCAGTCTGATTGTATACATGGGATCTACCCTGTCCTACTTCGGTCTGGTAAGAGATTCTCTCTCCCCGCTTTAAGAAAATGATATGGAAAGTCAGGTGTGGTGTCGCACACCTGTAATCCCAGTACTCCAGGAGGCTGAGGCAGGAGGATCACTGCAAGTTGGAGGTCAGCCTGGAACTAAGTGAGACCCTGCCTCAAAATTTAAAAAAGGGGGGGTGGTCAGGGGCGTAGCTCAGAGGTAGAGCACCTCTGGGTCTGACCCTCAGTCCTGCAGGGGGAAAAAACACATATGACGACAAAAAGAAGTTTCACTACCTCCCGCCTGCCTGGGTCCCCGCAGGCCACTGTGTTCATCGACCTTCTCATCAACACCTACTCGAGCGCCATCTGTCGGTCGCACGTCTATCCCTGGTGCCCGTGCTGCAAACCCTGCGCAGCCAACGAGTACTACTACCACAAGAAGTGCGAGGTGGTGGTGGAGCCCAAGCGGGTAAGCGCAGAGTGGGAGGCCCAGACACCCACAGGGACCTCGGACGGCTGAGAAATGGGTACAGATCGCGCCCAGAGCACAGAACAAGCTGCAGGCCCTCCCCAGGCACCGTGTCTCCCATGAGCCTTTGGTCTTAAGAAACAATAAAAGCAAAATAGAGCCAGGCCTAGTGGCACACACCTGTAATCCCAGCACTCAAGAGGCTGAGGCAGGAGGAGTGCCGCAATTTGGAGGCCAGCCTGGGCTACATAGTGAGTTCAAGGCCAGGGAGACCCTGTCTCAAAGAGAAAAAGAGAGAGGACCAGGATATGCGCAGAAGACAAATGTTTATGTTTCAGGACTGGTCACAGTTGTCATTTTTTTTTTTTTTTTGGTCTTTTTAAGACAAAAAGTTCAGACTGGCCTTGAGCTCACTTGTAGCCCAGGCTGGCCTTGAACTCACAACGATCCTCCTGCCTCAGCCTCCTGAGTGCTGGGATTACAGGAGTGCACCACCATGCCCGGCTTTTTTTTTTTTTTTTTTTTTTTTTTTGGTCTTTTTAAGACAAAAAGTTCAGACTAGCCTTGAGCTCACTTGTAGCCCAGGCTGGCCTTGAACTCACAACGATCCTCCTGCCTCAGCCTCCTGAGTGCTGGGATTACAGGAGTGCGCCACCATGCCCGGCTTTTTTTTTGGTCTTTTTGAGACAAGATCTCGCTATGCAGTTCAGGCTGGCCTTGAGCTCACCTTGTAGCCCAGGCTGGTCTCAAACTTGCAGCGATCCTCCTGCCTCAGCCTCCCAAGTGCTGGGATTATGGTGTGTGCCACCACACCTGACCTCTAAGACATTTTTTGATAGTGGAAAAAAGCAAATACAAGGCTGGGCATAGTGGCACACACCTGTGATCTCAGATTCAGGAGGCTGAGGCAAGAAGATCACTGCAAGTTCAAGACCAGCCTGGGCCACATAAGCAAGTTCAAGGGCAGCCTGAACTACACAGCAAGACCCTGTCTCAAAAAAACCAAAACAAACGAAAAGCAAACAGAAAAACAATTTTGTATGGCATATGTTAAAAAACAGACCCATAAACTAATACTATATATTCTCTACGTGTGCATTGCATGCGAGTGCTCATATGCACACACAGAGGTACCGCCCCTGGTTGTAGTCACAGGAACCTGTGTGAGTCACAGGGAGCTTCAGTGAGCCTTACCTGTGTGCTCTGATTTGATGGACTTGGCCTTGTCACACAAGTCCGCTACACTTACTTCCGTGATCTCCCCCGGGAGAAATCTCTGCTCCCTAAAAACAAAGAGGCCCCCTCTCTTCCCCTCATGCAAGCACCTCCCTGTCCTCCTCTCCCCGCGGCTGGACGCGCCGCTCACTGCCACTGTCCGCGTGCTCACGACCGTCGAGGGAGTTTGGTCTGCAACTAAAAATAACCGTTGCCTCATGGCCGCACATGGCGTGAAACTCCATCAACACGTAAGCTGCAGAAGCTGCAACACCAGAACCCTCCAGGGACACTGAGCCTGAAGTTCCTGGAACTGAGGGAACACACAGGACAGCCGCCCAGGGCGCGGGGGCCCACCGGCCAGAGCGGGAGGCTGTGGTCCCCTGCCCACAGCTGCGCCCCGGTACCTGGGCTTCCGTTCCCGATTAACTGCAGACTCAGAGCCTCGGGGCGAGGGGCAGCTTGTCTGAGAGTGTGTCGCCTGCTAAGGGGACCAGTAGTTGCTGTTGTTTAGAGCGGCAATTCTTGATAACGCTGTACAAAAACAGATGAGGTTTTTCCTTTCCTTCCCCTAGACATTAAAGTACGTGTCCTTTGTGGACGAGCCTCACATTCGGATGGTGGACCAGCAGCTCCTCGGGAAAAGCCTGCAGGATGCCAAGGGCCAAAAAGTCCCAGTAAGTTGAAATATTTAGTCTTTTTTTAAAAGTGTTTTAACTATTTTTTTTATTTCTTTTTTTTTTTTTTTTTTTTTTGAGACAGGGTCTCACTGTGTAGTTCAGGCTGGCCTCAAACTCACTCTGATCCTCCTGCCTCAGCCTCCTCCTGAATGCTGGGATTACAGGAATGTGCCATCAAGCTGGGCAGTTTTTTTTTTTTTAAATAAGAAAATTTACCATTAAGTATAAATACATCTAGAATTTGTACAAATCACCACTGATGAAGTTTAATAAAGCAAACATACTCATGTAACCAGCACCCGGATTAAAAACTGAAGTGCTGTGGGCTGGGTATGCCTCAGTGGTAGAGCTCTTGCCTACCATGCACAAAGCCCTGGTTCAATACCCAGCTCTTTAAAAAAAAAAGGACTATTCTTAGCAGAAGTCCCTCTCCTGTCCCCTCCCAGTCTCTACCCCCCTTGAAAAGTAGTCATCATGCCGGGCGTGGGGGCGCACGCCTATAATCCCAGCTCTCAGGAGGCTGAGGCAGGAGGATCACTGCAAGTTCAAGGCCAGCCTGGGCCACAAAGTGAGCTCAAGGCCAGCCCGAGCTGCAATATGAAACCCTGTCTCAAAAAGAAAAAATAAGTAAGTTTTTTAGAAAGTAGTCATCCTCTTGACTCTGAGGTTAGTCTTACCTTTTCTAGAGTTTTATAACAACTACACCATATGCTAAGTGCTCCGTGTATGCTTACTGGAGCAGCCGGCTCCCTTCACTCAGTATTGTTTTCGTATTTTCCATGGTGTCCGAAGTTCACTGCCATTACTGTATTATTTCCACTTGGTAGACACCCAGCTTATTTATCCGTTCTGCTGTCGAAGGACACTCGTGTAGTTTCCAGTTCAATGCTACTGCCAAGATATAAACATCTGGCATCTGTTGGGTGATCCCCTTAGGCCAGAACTGCTGTCCTGAGACAGGCCTATGTTCCATTTTAGTAGATGCCAATCAGTGCTCCAAGAGCTGGTTCTCATTCACACTTCCCCAGCTGGGTTAGCTTCCTTTTCACGGCTAATATTCCACTGTGTGGATAGACCCTACTTTGTTTATCCACACATCAGTTGATGAATATGTGGGTCATTTCCACCTTTCTGCTATTATTAATAGTGCTGTTGTGAACATTCACATGAAAGAACTCAATTTCTAATCTACTCAACTCAGGTCCTGTTTGTCAGTGAATGAGGTATGTATCATAAAGAACAGACGCGAACCAAAAAAAAAAAAAAAAAACAAAGCTAAATACATCATTAGGGCTGGGGATTTAGCTCAGCGGCAAAGCGCCTGCCTGGCAAGCGCAAGGTTATGAGTTCGGTTCCTGGTACCGGAGAAAAACCAAAAAAAAAAAAAAAAAAAACAAAGCTAAGAACAGACGCAGCCATGGAATTACGGCCACGCCCCTTGGAGAATAACAAATAGACCAGTAACAGGGAACAAACATTTACTGTCTCCTGTGTCCTGGGCCCAGTTCCAGGCTCCAGAGATCCGGCAATAAACAAAACAGACTGAGCCAGGCATGGTAGCACACACCTATAATCCCAGGACTAGGGAGGCTGAGGCAGGAGGATCGCCACAAGTTTGAGGCCAGCTTGGGCCACATAGTGATCATTTTGGTTGTTACCAAGTCCTCTGGAGAAAGGAGGGTACCCTGGCCCTGGTGTGCAGGGAGCTATAAATGAGGGAGACCGGGGCCAGGGGTGATAGCTGAACACAAATCTGGATTTTCTGAATTGCATTCTTCAAATCTGTAAAATGGGAACGAGGATACCTAACCTGAGGTCTGCAAAGGCTTATGCAGCAAAAACACAGCTGGGAGCTGACGCGCTGGCTGAAGGAATGACAGTTACCGTAATTACTCTCACATTAAATGCCATTTTTTTTTTTTTTTATGTATGTGGTGCTGGGATCAAACCCAGGACTTGTGCATACAAGGCAAGAGCTCTACCACTGAGCCATATCCCAGCCCCCTAAATGCCGAAATGCCACTTTAAATGCTAATAAAATGGAAGCAGCTGGAACCCCCAGGCTTTTGGTTTGTTTGTTTTTGGTTTTTGGCTTTTCTCCGGTACCGGGAATCGAACTCACGACCTGGTGCTTGACAGGCAGGCGCTTTGCCGCTGAGCTAAATCCCCAGCCCCCTGGCTTGTCAGGGCTCATGGCTTTGGATTTTTTTCAGAGAGCCCCGATGGACTTCACACGCCTGTCCAAGCTGCCCCTGTCTCTCCCCGATGCAACCCCAGCCCCAGCCCCTGGACAACCACAGGAGATGCAGCCACTTCGCGGGATGGGGACCCCCAAGGCTGGGGACAGCCCGGACTGGTGCCAGTGTGGACGCTGCCTCCCGTCGCAGCTCCCCGAGGACAGCAAGTGCCTGGAGGAGCTGTGCTGCCGGCGGACGCCGGGGCCCTGCATCACCACCTCCGAGCTCTTCGGGGACCTGGTGCTGTCCCGATCCGCCCTGCGGCAGCTGCTGCTCTACCAGGAGCCCCTGCTGGCGCTGGACGAGGAGGCCACCAACAGCCGGCTGCGACGCTGTGCCTACAGGTGCTACGCCGCCTGGCGCTTTGGCCCCCAGGACGTGGCCGACTTCGGCATCCTGCCCAGCTGCTGCCGCTGGCGGATCCGGAGGGAGTTCCCCAGGAGCCACGGCCCGTACGGCGGCTTCCGGTGTCCCTACTGATGGGGGGCTCGCCCGCAGCTCTGCCTGTCGGGGAGCGGGGCCCCGTTACACCCGCGCAAGCCAGCCGCGCGGAGCCTCTGCGGGACCGGATCAGGAGGCGCGGGTTTGAGTCTCAGTCCTGTCCCCGGGAAGCTGTGTGGCCTCGGCCCAGCCTACGCCTCCGCCTCCTCGCTCCCCGCTGCTGGCCCGGAGCTGGGGGACGGCTGGGCCCGGGGGTGGGGTGCCCCTCACCAAGGCCACAGCTGCGTGGATGCCAAGTGCGTCGCCGCGGGCGCGGGGAGGCCACCGGCCGGCAAGGGCAGCCTGAACAGGGCCCGGCCGGCGGACGTGGCGGGCGGAAGGTGGCCGTGGGCTCTGACACTCTGGCCCAAGTTCGGGCCGCTCTGTGGCTTTACCCAGTAGTGGCAGTGGCACCGCGCCCATCTCAGGGTCTCAGTCTCCAGAGGCTGGCACTCCCCTTCCTGTCCCTCGGCGCCACCCTGCGCAAGTCCAGGCAGAGGCATGGACGGTGCCCGCCAGCGCTCCGTGCCTCCGCCTCCTGGGCCCACGCCACCCCCGGCCACGCGGGGACACCCCAAGGGACGACTGCTGCACGGCGCGGCTGCCTCCCGTCGCTGGGTGCTGGAGCCGCCACTCCAGTAACTGGGCAGGCGCAGGCTCGCCTCCCGGCCCGCAGCTTCGCGAAGCTCTGAGGGCTGCAGACCCAGCCAGGCGGTCTCCACGCGGCCGGGAGCCAGCAGGTCTGCGGGCGACGCACCGGGCCCACTCCAGCCCCGTGCAGGCCCAGGGCGGCGGGGACCGCGGCGGCAGCCTCTGCGCCCCTCCTGTCCTGCGCCTGCGGTCCCAGTGGCCCTCACCTCAGCCTCCCCCGGCTCCTCAGCCACGGAGGATAGGGATATCAACAGTCCCGGGTGGGGCCCATTCGGAGTTTCCCCTTCGTGGGTTTGTCACTGGAGCTGGCCTTTTATTTGTAAACAACCAGCATTTCCAAGGATAACTGGAGACAACACCGAATGATACTGAAATACTGTGACGCATAGCGTGTGAGCTTTAACATCTATATTCAGAGACTCGCTTTGGGCCAATACTGGGGTTTGAACGCAGGGGCTGGTGCAGCCTAGGTGCGTTCCCTCCCCATGAGGTACATCCTTGGCCTTTATTTTTTATATTGAGACAGGGTTTCATGAAGTTGCCCATGCTGGCCTCAAACTCGTAACCTTCCTGCCTCAGCCTCCTGGGGACTTAGGATTATAAGCGTGCACCGTGATGCCCGCTTTGATCATTTTACCATTTTAGTAACTGTTTAAAACAAGCAACTTTCTACTGTATTAATGTAAAATAATTTTTAAAAGCATGAATAAAACCTAGGGTTTTATGTGGGTTTACACTCAGGAATCAAGTTCACTGTGCCAGACTGAATTTCATTTTTTACTACTTTTTCAGAGATATTTTCCCAAACACAGATGATGTATGACTTCTCCAGAACTGCAATTTGTCACTCTGAGGGTTCTGTGTGACAGCCACAGGTTTCGGGTCTGACAGCCTCTGAACCGCTAGACCTTTATTTTTGGTGCCTTAGTCCTGCTCTGTTCCTGTCACCTTGTAGAGGCCCTACGTGGAGTCAGATTTATTTTTTTTTTCTTGAGACAAGGTCTCACTATGTAGTTCAGGCTGGACTTGAACACACTGTGTGGCCTAGTCTGGCTTTGAACTCACAGCGATCCTCCTGCCTCAGCCTCCTAAGCTCTGGGGTTCCAGGCGTGCGCCACCACACCCAACCAGAGTCAGAATTCAGAAGAGCAAACCATCACCAGATCCACGTCCTCCAGCTGGCCCCCTTCCCTTCCTCACTGAGGCCTTGGGCGGAGGGGACATTCTCCGCTTCCTGCAGGATCAGGGGCCGTATCTGCGCTTGTCTTCCACCCCGTGTGATCCGCCTTCTTCCAGCCCAGCCAGCCTCTGTTCCGGTGCCTGCGCAGAATTCCCTGTCTCACTGTGTCCCCCGGGAAGCGAGCTGCTTTCCTGCTGGCCTCCTTCTGGGTTCACAGAGAACTGACGGTGGACTTGTGCCTCCCTCTCTAAATGGAACCACTTTAAAAATCCTTCCTAATTCTAGGTTGGCAATGTAGGTATTCTTAACTTGACTGTTTTGGCGATTAAAAAAATGATGTATAATTTAAGTCTTCTCTTGGATTTTTTTTTCAGAAGGCCCCTAAATCACACTTCGTTCATTCATTCATTCAGTCAGTCAACAAATACCCACTGATACAGCCACTGCAGACTGAAGACCAGCTAGCTGGAGATTTATAAAGACAGACAGTGATCAAATGGTTTAAGCAACCAGGTGTGGTGGGGCACATGCCTGTAATCCCAGCACTCGGGAGGCTGAGGCGGGAGGATCTTGTGAGTTCGAGACCAGCCTGGGGTACAAAGTGAGCTCAAGGCCAGCTTGAACTGCATAGCGAGACCCTGTCTCAAAAAGACCCCCAAAAAAAGATTCAAGCAAATGTACACTTACAACGTGCAAAAAGTAGCGTGATGAAGGGGGCAGATGGTGCTCTGGCAGCCTATAATCAGAGCATCTGACCTATGCTAGGCGATGAGAGAAATCCTACATGAGAAGGAAACAAGTTAACTAAAACCTCAAGAGAAAGAACTAGCTAACTAGGTGAATAAGGGAGGGAAGAGCATTCTAGGTAAAGTGAATGGTGTGTGCAAAGGTCCTGGGGCAGAAAGGGCATAGGAGGTTTGCAGAGCCTAAAGGAGGCCGGTATGACTATGCCCTGAGTAGTACAGGGAAGTTCAGCAAGGGACCGGGCTAGACAAGCAGGCAGCGCCCCAGCTGCAGAGCCTTGCAGGCCCTGGGAAAGCCTGACCACTGGACAGCCAGGAAGGATTTTAGACAGGGGCCTGGTAAGATCTAATTTTTTAAAAGCTCATTCCGATCGCTGTGTGAAAAATAAGGCTAGTAGTAGACACCACTTTAACTTCCATTTCACTAACCCATGAGGCATTAGCCCCACATACGCAACCACATAAATGGATTCTCTTTTCTCTCCTCCTCTTCCTCTTGGGAAGTCCCATGCGGCCAGCAGCGACTGAAGAGGAAAAGCCCCGGCTTTCGGTGTCCCGCCGGCTTTGGGCCCCTGCCCTGCCTGAGTTGCCGCGCTCAGGCGGGACGGGAGGGGGTGACAGGGAGAAGAGGAGGAGCAGCGAGCGCAGAGCCTGTGCTGCGCCTGCGCCTGGGGAAGGGAGCCCGGGGTTTCCTAAATAAAGGCCCCTCTCTGCGGAGGTTCTGCCTTCTGAATGAAGTCTCCAGGTCACCGGGGCCCAGGGCGGGGAGCCGAGCGGACTCGCAGTCGGAGCCCTGGTAGCGGCTTGGAAGGGGCGGCTCTAACAGGGCCCTGTGCGTGACTGCGCAGCACGGCGCATGACCAGGGTTTATGCTCTATTCCCCGCAAGAAACAGAAAGGTCTGCGCCGAGCCGGACTCGGCTTGCTGTCCTTGCATTCCTTCTCCAGCACAGAAATGCAGTGGACACTGGGCAGACAGCCTGCCTCAAGTCCTGCCCACACAACTTGTTAACGATCATAGTGGCATACATCTGCAACCCCAGCACTCGGGAGGCCGAGGCAGGAGGATCCCAGGAGGCCAAGGCCCGCCTAGGCTACATATTGAGATCAAGGCCAGCCGAACTATATAATAAGACACTGTTTCAAGCAAAACAAAAACAGAAAAAAAAAAAAAAAGCAGGTACAAGAGAGGTATCACTCTGCTCCTCCACCTCACCTCATAGGCTGTTTCTGAACATGCGAACACCAGTTAGCACCCGCTGCCCCCAGATCAATTTCCCTAGCAGAGCTGGGTGTGATGGCGCATGCCTGTATTGCCAGCACCCGGGAGGCTGAGGCAGGAGGATCCTTGCGAGTTCGAGACCAGCCTGGGCTACAAAGTGAGCCACAAAGTGGCTACAAAAGGCCAGCCTGAACTGCATAACAGACCCCGACTCGAAAAAGACAAAAAAAAAAAAAAAAAAAAAATTCCCCAGCAGAAATGCAGACAGAGGACACCCTCCGCCTCTCCTCTTCCGGCATCCGGTCAGGCTCTGCGCTTCAGCCCAAGGTCGCACCCTGGGTGCACCGCACTGCGCACGCGCACGCCCAGGGTAGGCGAGCAGGTTCCCCTGGAGACCGGTGCCAGGGAAATCGCGTGAGCCTGGCCCCAGACAGAGGGCGTCAGGGAAACTGGCCCTGACAGATCAATGGGGTGCCTCGGAGAGGCTCACAGTGAGGGACACAGACGGACAGGAAGTTCCGGGCACGGGACATCGACATCGTTTACAGTTCTTCCGGGTCAAATGGGAGCGCCAGGGATGGAAAAGACTGAAAAATAATTTTGAAAAATTCCGTAAAGTCCAACGGTAGGAGACTGGCGAGATCCACTATGTCCCTTCGCAGAAGAGTGTGAAGTCTTTGAAAGGATGCCGCAGAAGGACAGTGAGCCAAGTGGACAGAGGCTCAGGACCACACCCTGGCACTCCTTGCTCAGGGAGAACAGGGTCCTTTACTTAGAGCCCGCGGTCCCGGCAGAGACAGGACATATTAGAGACCCGTGACCCTGAGCACACATTTAGGGAGACAAGTGCCTGCTTCCTCACCGGTGCACTTCCTAGATAATTAAAGTCACCCAGCCGGGCACGTGGCGCGCGCCTGTAATCCCAGCGTTCCCCAGGCTGAGGCAGGAGGGTCGCTGCGAGTTAGAGGCCAGGCTGGGCTACGCAGTGAGTTCAAGGCCAGCCTGAACTGCATAACAAGAACCTGCCTACTAAAATAAATAAATAAAATAAAATAAATGGCCAAAATGTGATATTACTACTTTAAATTGCCTTGGTACAAGAATAAATCTGAACATTTTCTAAGAGTGTAATTATTACCTCAATTTCATGACCACAGTTTACCAATCGGTCTTTTGACCCGTGGTCCTGGGGCTCACACCAGGGCCTTGTGCATGTCAGGCAAGCGCTCTGCCGCTGGGCACACCGCCCTGACGCGGAGCGCGGGAGCACCAACTCCTTAGCACTCCCACAGCCAGTGGCAGATCTGGGCAGGAGGCCGACCGCGTCCCATTGTTAGCGGAGGGGAAGAGCCCGGGAGCGCTGGGAGGAGACAAAATTCTGGATAATTCTCCGGACAGGAAAGAGAGCGCTTACCCTCCACTGACCCAAAGAAAGTGACTTCGCTTTGTCACCGCACTTTCCGCTAGATTCCTGCTGCGCAGTGGGCTTCGTGAGCTGGGCAGAGCGGAGAGAGGGAAGCAGCCGAGGAAAGAACCACTTCCTGGTGCATAGCGGAAGCGCACACGGCACACCCTCCCGTCGCACACGCCGGGTGAAGCTTCTTAGACGCACGTTGTCCTCCAATTTTTCAGAGGCGACCCTAAAGGGTAGAAATGAATTGGGAAAACTGCCAGAGAGCTTTGTGATTTGCTTATATGAACTTGGACGTCACTTTATTTATGTATTTATTGGTCTTTTTTGAGACAGGGTCTCGCTATGCAGTTCAGGCTGGCCTCGAACTCGCCAACAGTCCTGCCTCAGCCTCCCGAGTGCTGGGATTACAGGCATGCGCCACCACACCTGGCAGGCAGAGTATTTTTATTTTGTTGTTTTTTGTTTTTTTTTTTTTGGTTTTTCTCCGGTACCGGGAACCGAACTCACGACCTTGCGTTTGCCAGGCAGACGCTTTGCCGCTGAGCTAAATCCCCAGCCCCAGGCAGAGTATTTTTAAATCCCCTATCAAAGATGTTTTACAAACTGGGCTTTCCTTTTCTGTACAGAATTAAGCCCCACAAAGCCTCCACTTTGGCAGAGTTCATCCGTTTGTCACCTCCGTATCGATAGCATCAACAGGGCTAGCACTCGGAAGTAGCTGGTGAATGAATGAATGAAATCCCAGCCTGTCACCACCTTCCCCTGGGACCATTTTGGACTGAGTTGGGACCTCTGTTCTTCCCTCTTACTTAACAATCCATCTGTACAGGCAGGTGCTGTTTGCTTTCTGCAATTTTTATTATTCACCTTTTTACATTTGGAAAACAGTGTGTTATGACTTAGAGACCTTACATCCTGTAAATGAACTAAAAAGTCCTACTAAAGCCTATGTGCCGGGTGTGGTGGCAAATGCCTGTGACCCCAGCACTCAGGAGGCTGAGGCAGGAGGATCACTGAGAGTTAGTGCTAGGC